TTAAAATTTTTATTGAATTATTTAAAAATTCTATTAATTTGGCATAAAATAACTTTTATATTCCTTTTTAAAAAAGTAAGAATAGATAATTTATCAAACATATAAATTACAAAAAAAATTCTATAAATACATGCAAAAAATACTATAAGTAACATTGTCAAACAAAATTTAAATATTAACCTTCATTAGTTTACTTTTAATTAATTATTATTTAAACAAAATTTTTTATTTAATATTTATTGTAATTATTTTTTAAAAATAAAAATTGAAAAATAAATTATTTTCGAATATCGCAAATTAAAAACTAAGTTCAATCGAAGTGGTATTAATTTATTTAAACAAAATTTTTAAGACGGAGAGAGTACTGGTCAACTACAGTTGAGTATCATTACTATACTAACGAAACCAAGACTCAACCGTTATCCGTCAACAGCTCACTAAACCTGACTAGCTGTCACCGGCATATAAAAGACTCCCTCTCCCCTCAAGAATCTGCTTATAAATAACATCACCGGTAGTACCAAATTTCAATCAAGTTCGTCAGGAAGTTACTGTTCTTGTGTACTAACTTAATAAGCATTATGAACATAAGAGACAACAGAAGGGCAAGAAGAACAATACTAGAAGATCAAGTAGCATCAAGCATCTCTTCTTTCTTATGTTATAAAATGACAAATACACTACAAAATCTCTCAGCTGTCCTAATAGTCATCCATTCATAGAAACGAATTAATCATGCAAGGCAATCCGTGGTAACAGCTCAATACCGATAACTGCTATATCCACCCAAGCTGGAGGACCCATACCTCCCAACATCGGAGGATCCATTTGCACTTCCTAAGTGAGAAGAATAAGATGAATGATAGTTGGGCTCTGGCAACTGCGAGTACCCTGTCTCAATCTTGTCATATATGCTTGGGGCTGGTTCCTTGTGATTGGTAATGAACTACTGCCAAAGAAAGAAGAAATTGTTACAACTATACAACATCACATATTTCAAAAATATAATTAAAACAGTCTAATGACAGAGCCTCCCCTTCCCCTTCCCCTCCCAAGAGAAAAAGGAAATAGATTAAAAACATATCAACCCAATAAAAGAGAAAAGAAAGAGGATACAGTTTTTGGCTGGTACACGCCTATTAATTTTCAGGAGATATATGACCCAGGATTCATGGCATGGTTAAAATGAGAATGCAGAATGCTTCCAGCAAGCCCCATCTAATCTCTGGCTATTATAGATATAAAAGAACACTAAGCATATGACAATGGTACTTGCATTATTTGTGTCATCTGAAATAGAAAGAAATGATAGTTGTGATCAACCTCAACAGAACATGTCAAAAGCATAAGGGAGGATATCATGCCTATGAATTAACATCTAAAAACATTTCACAGTCACCAAAAAAAAAAGGATTCAAGAGAAAAAATACCACCTAAGAATATATTCTTTTAAAATTAACTAGTTCTCAACCTGCCAAGTAATCATTCTAGGACTGGCCTCATCCATAGACAGAATGTTGCATGCAAGAAAATACCATCCTAATTAAGGCAATGTTCCAGGAAATGTGAGTGTTTAGAGATTCTACAATAACAAGACTTGTCTAAGCACGAGCATATAAAGCATGGTATAATTCCATTGGATTGGTGCATAATCAGTGATAAATAGACCAGCTACAGATACACAATAATGCATAACAGAAGTAATAACTAACCTGAGTAACTATAGGAGCAGCAGCACGGATCGACTAAGTCCTGTTGAACGCACAACTCCAAGTCCACGATCTCCAAAAAGTGACAGTCCTGATTGTGTGATTTTAGGTTCAAGATATGAGTTTCACGTTTGAATAAAGGATCCCACTTCAATGAAAAGGAATAATCAGAAACAATTAATCCCAGCCTGTTGAGCAGGAGTTGAATGGAGAGATGGCTGAGTTCTATCAACCCAGGTATCTGCTGGAGCTGTACGCTCCTGGGATATTTGAGCAACGTACTGGACAAAGAAAGACGTATTAATCTCAAGCACATTCAAATATTTAAGCAAAGAAATTTAAGTTCTAACTCTTAAGTTTTCTCAAAAATAGGAACGGCAATGTGATCAAGCAAAAACTTTCTTAGCTGTCCCAATACAGCTTCTAAAGCTTTGACAAATTGTTCAAAAAAAAATATATATATATTCATAAATTACCCAATATTTACTTAGTTAGCACTAAATATATATTTTTAACTATTTAAATATACATCAAATCTAAAAGTTTTTATGTTAAATTTTAAATATAACTCGTATCTGATTGTATCCGAAAATTGGATTGGCCTTAGTCTCTAGATAATTATTTTCTGGGTGGGCTCAGGTTGAAGTAGGCCCAGTCTTCAGTTTCGCTCGACCCGACTACATGAATTCGGGTTAAAAAGAAAAATGGAATTCCCTTTTCTCTCTCCTCTCTTCTCATCCCCTTTTTGCTTTTTTCTGTGAGTAAAGGTGTAAATAAGTATTCCAACTTTGCACTTTTTTCTATTTAAAAATGTTAATTTTGTTAATTTTTAAATAAAAATGTTAACTTTCAATTATTTTTCTAAATAAAAATGTTAACTTTATCAGTTTTTAAATAAGAATGTTAATTTTCAATATTTTCTATTTAAGGATGTCAACTTTCAACTTTTTCTATTTAAGGATTAATTAAATAGTGATGTTGACAGTGGCTAACATATTTTTTAGGTTAAATACCTGAATTGGTCTCTCAACTTTTATTTTTGAACCAATTCATCCTTGAACTTTAGAAAGTACCAAAAACGTCCTTCAACTTCAATTTTCAATTAATAAAATTATTTCCTAATTATTTACCAAAAAAATTATTTCCTAATTCATGGAAGAATTAATTAAATTTTATTTAATTTTATTAAATGGTTGGTGGGACTAATTAAATGGAAAAATATATTAATTGTTTAATTTTTAAATATAAATAAAGTAAAATTAAGAATTAAAGTAGTTTGTAAATTATTTAAAATT